GGGACCCATGTGACCTGTGCCACTGGGACCTTCCGTGGAGCTCCGTATGGGGCCACGAACCGTGTGTGGGGTGTGCCGAAATGGGTGGCGGGGGCGCATGTCAACTGTGCCACTGGACCTTCGGTGGAGCTCCGGATGGGGCCACGAACTGTGTGTGGGGTGTGCCGCAATGGGTGGCGGGGACGCATGTGAACTGCCGCTGGGGCCTTCGGTGGAGCACCTTCTGGGGACACGACCCGTTTGAGGGGTGTGCCGAAGTGGGTGGCGGGGACTCATGTGAACTGTACCACTGGGGCCTTCGGTGGAGCTCCCCATGGGGCCACGAACCGTAGCAGGGGTGTGCTGGAATGGGTGACGGGGACCCATGTGAACTGTGCCACTGGCACCTTCGGTGGAGCTCCGTATGGGGCCACGAACCGTGTGTGGAGTGTGCCGAAATGGGTGGCGGGGGCGCATGTCAACTGTGCCACTGGACCTTCGGTGGAGCTCCGGATGGGGCCACGGACTGTGTGTGGGGTGTGCCGAAAGGGATGGCGGGGACGCATGTGAATTGTGCCACTGCGTCCGTCGGTGGAGCACCTTATGGGGACACGACCCGTTTGAGGGGTTAGCCGAAGTGGGTGGCGGGGACTCATGTGAACTATACCACTGGGGCCTTCGGTGGAGCTCCCCATGGGGCCACGAACCGTAGGAGGGGTGTGCCGACAATAGTCGCGGGGACCCATGTGAGCTGTGTCACTGGGACCTTCGGTGGAGCTCCGTACGGGGCCACGAACCGTGTGTGGGGTGTACCGAAATGGGTGGCGGGGGCGCATGTGAACTGCCGCTTGGGCCTTCGGTGGAGCACCTTATGGGGACACGAACTGTAGCAGGGGTGTGCCGAAGTGGGTGGCGGGGACTCATGTGAACTGTACCACTGGGGCCTTCGGTGGAGCTCCCCATGGGGCCACGAACCGTAGCAGGGGTGTGCTGGAATGGGTGGCGGGGACGCATGTGAACTGTGCCATTGGGATTTTCGGTGGAGCTCCGTATGGGGCCACGAACCGTGTGTGGGGTTTGCCGGAATGGGTGGCGGGGACGCATGTCAACTGTGCCACTGGACCTTCGGTGGAACTCCTCATGGGGCCACGAATCGTGTGTGGGGTGCGCCGGAATGGGTGGCGGGGGCGCACGTAAACTGTGCCACTGGGGCCTTCGGTGGAGCTCCCTATGGGAACACGACCCGCGTGAGGGATGTGCCGAAATCGGTGGCGGGGGCGCATGTAAACTGGGCCATTGCCACTGGGGCCTCCGGTGAAACTCCCTATTCGGCCACGAACTGTGTGAGGGGTGTGCCGACATGGGTGGTGGGGACGCATGTAAATTGTGCCACTGAGGCCTTCGGTTGAGCTCCCCGTGGGGCCACGAACCTCGTGAGGGGTGTGCCAAAATGTGCGTCGGGCGCATGCGGACCCTGCCACTGGGGCCTTCGGTGGAGCTCCCCATGGGGCCAGAAACCATGTGAGCGCTGTGCCGAAGTGGGCGTCGGGTGCATCATGTGAACTGGACCGCTGGGGTCTTCGGTGGAGCACCTTATGGGGACACGAACCGTGTGTGGGGTGTGCCGAAGTGGGTGGCGGGGGCGCATGCGGACCCTGCCACTGGGGGTGTGCCGACATTAGTTGCGGGGACGCATGTAAACTGTGCTACTGGACCTTCGGTGAGGCTTCTTATGCGGCCACGAACCGTGTGTGGGGTGTGCCGCAATGGGTGGCGGGGGCGCATGTGAACTATGCCGCTGGGACCTCCAGTGGAGCTCCGTATGGGGCCACGAACCGTGTGTGGGGTGTGCCGACATGGGCGTCGGGCGCATGCGGACCCTGGCACTGGGGCCTTCGGTTGAACTCCCTGTGGGGCCACGAACCGCGTGAGGGGTGTGCCGAAGTCGGTGGTGGGGGCGCATGTACACTTCGCCACTGGGGCCTGCGGTGAAGCTCCCTATGAGGCCACGAACTGTTTGGGGGGTGTGCCGGAATGGGTGGCGGGGACGCATGTAAATTGTGCCACTGGGGCCTTCGGTTGAGCTCCCCATGGGGCCAGAAACCATGTGAGGGGTGTGCCGACATGGGCGTCGGGTGCATGTGAATTGTACCACTGGGGCCTTCGGTTGAGCTCCCTGTGGGGCCACGAACTGAGTGAGGGGTGTGCCAAAATGTGCGTCGGGCGCATGCGGACCCTGCCACTGGGGCCTTCGGTGGAGGTCCCTATTGTGCCACAAACCGTGTGAGGGGTGTGCCGACACTAGTCGCGGGGACGCATGTAAACTGTGCCACTGGACCTTCGGTGGAGCTCCCTGTGGGGCCACGAACCGTGTGTGGGGTGTGCCGGAATGGGTGGCGGGGACGCATGTAAATTGTGCCGCTGGACCTTCGGTGGGGCCACGAACCGTGTGAGGGGTGTGCCGAAATCGATGGCGGGGGCGCATGTCAATTGTGCCACTGGGTCCTTCGGTGGAGCTCCGTATGGAACCACGAACTGTTTGGGGGGTGTGCCCAGGATCTGGCTCTGACTCGACGCGGATTCGGCGTGGATTCGACGCGTATTCGACGAGTTCGGCATGGATTCGACACGGATTCGACGCGGATACGGCCGCGACGGGACAGACAAGATCCTCCGAGGATGCAACATCAGACCAGCGCGCAAGTCGTCAGAGGAGAGGGGGATCAGAAGGGGACGGCATGTTCGTGTCGTGCTGACTGGCGGCCACCCCGCTGCCCGCGTTCAGCGTTGAACGCCGGCGGCGGCCCAGAATCGGTCGATGTTGAACGATCTGACGTTTCGGAGACGGCCGATCGTTCAAGGTTGAACGATCCCCACGGTGTCAGAAAGCATCGCCGAGGTCGGCATGACACGAATCTGCCCTAGGACGGAGGGGATGTGTATCGCCGAGTCTGCAGGGCGAGCATCGAGACCTAATGGATACCGTGCGCACAGCAGCAGCCATGCAGGACGGCGAACAGAACGGGAAGCGGAGCACCTGCGCCACTTCAAGACGTGATGATAACGGTGCCCGCGTTGTGAATGCGGTAGTTGTTCCCTTTCCTGGTTTCTTGGTTCCTTCTCCTCCTCCTTCTCCTCCTCCTCCTCCTTCCCCTCCTCCTCCTCCTCCTCCTCCTCCTCCTCCGCCTCCTCCTCCTCCTCCTCCTCCTCCTCCTCCTCCTCCTCCTCCTCCTCCTCTTCCTCCTCTTCAAATTTCGAGAACCTAGGACCTATACTTCTGCCTGGTACTGTCTTCTTGGGCCTCCGGGGGCCCCATCGGGGGGGGGCTTTGGAGGTCTTCAGGCACCCGGAACTCATGTTGCTTGGCCAACGCCGACGGTGGGTTGGGCTGGGCCGCTCGCAGGGTCTCGAAGATGATTGCGCTTTGCGCGTCGTGTTCTGGGAGGAGGAGGAGGAGGAGGAGGAGGAGGAGGAGAGGAGGAGGAGGGCTAGGAGGAGGGGGAGAAGGAGGAGGAGGAGGAGGAGGGGGAGGAGGAGGAGGAGGGGGGAGGAGGAGGAGGAGGGGGAGGAGGGGGAGGAGGAGGGGAGAAGGAGGAGGGGAGGAGGGGGAGGAGGAGGAGGAAGAGGAGGTTTTTTTTTTGTTAAAAAACAAGGATGGGGGGGAGGGGGAGGAGGGGGAGGAGGAGGAGTAGGAGGAGGAGGAGGAGGAGGAGGAGGAGGAGGAGGAGGAGGAGGAAGAGGATGCGGAGGAGGAGGAGGAGGAGGAGGGGGAGGAGGAGGAGGAGGAGGAGGATGAGGATGAGGAGCAGGAGGAGCAGGAGGAGGACGAGAAGGAGGAGGAGGAGGAGCAGGAAGAGGAGGAGGAGGAGGAGGGGAGGAGGAGGAGGAGGAGGAGCAGGAGGAGGAAGAGGAGGAGGAGGAGGAGCAGGAGGAGGAGGAGGAGGAGGAGGAGGAGGAAGTGGAGGAGGAGAAGGGTGTAGAACTGTCCTTCCTGCGCGGCGCGAGAGCGCAAAGGGCGCGAGAGCGCCAATCAGGGTCGCGCCCGGCGCTGCGCGCGGCGCGGCCCGCGAAGTGAGGTGACTTCCAGGAAGGGGGTCGCAGCAGAGCCCGCGGCCTCTCTCTGGGGGGCAGATTTTCTTCGCCGATCGTTCTTTTTGAGCCCATGATGGCCCACGTCCCAAGTGGAAGGAGCGACGCAGGGATGGAGAAACGTCTAGTCCGCCAGGGGTCGCGGCCCCCCAGAGGTTCCTCGAAGTGTCGGGATGCCCCTGGCGGCCCATCAAGTCTCGAGGCCATCCCCCCAACCTCTGACCTCGATGCTGTGCCTGGCTTCCTTTCTTGCGGTTTGCCTGGCGACTTTTCGACTCGCGCAGTGCTTGAGGCGGATTTGTGTGAACCAGCGCCACCCCAACATGCTGGTACTATGTGTGCGTCGCCCCTCCAGGTGCGACTCGCGCGCCGAGAAATCTTACAGTACGGGCCAAGTGGCAGGTGCTTTCTGGCCGTATCGCTCGGGCAAGGATATGTACGTATGGATTCATATAGATATACATATATATATACACATAACATATACGCAGATTGAGAAGGCCTCACGGGCGGTGCCGCCGACCCCATATGCGAGGAGGACAGGAGATGAGACGGGTGGGCGAGGAAGGGGGGGGGTCCACTTGGGGCTTCCAGAGCCTCTTGGGTGTCTCGTTGGAGCCTCCTGAGGGCCTCTTGGATCTTCCTGGGGTCCCCCTGGGGGCCTCTGGGGGCCCTCCTGGGGGGCCTCTTAGGACATCTTGGGGCTTCCTGGGAGGCTCTGGGGCCGACGATTCCAAAGCTCCTTTCGAGTCCCTCGTGTGGGCACGCTCTGGGAGCCGTCTTCTGGACCTCTTGGGCCGCCTTGGAGGCCTCTTGGGCTGTCTGGGGGCCCTCGTGGGTCGATCCGGGGCCCTCTTGGGGACTGCTGGTGCTATCTTGGGGCGGTCTTGGGGCGATCGTGGAGGTTTCTTGGGCCGTATTGGAGCGTCGGGAAGCCAAGACAGCGAGACCACCAACCTGTGTAAAAACAGGAAATACACTGTTTCTACCTCTTAGGGGACTTTTTCGGGGTGCTCTTGGAGGCCTCGTTAAGCGTTTGGGAGGTGTCTTGGACCGTCTGGAGGCCATCCGCGGCGGACGGGACGGAAAATTCGGGGATTCGCGGCCCTCTTGGACCGTCTTGGAAGCCTCTACGGGCACTCTTTGCCCGTCTTGGAGTTTATTGCCCCCGGGGGCGGTATTCTGACCCAGGACCCCGCGTGGGACCCACTCTCGACCCCTCCCCCCAGGACCTTCCGGGACCCACTCTCGACCCCCCCGGGGACTCACCACGGGACTCACTGTCGACCCACAGGACCACCTTTCCCTACGGGGTAGGGATCAAAGGGAAGGGGCTTCCCTGCGACTCAGTCACGGCTTTGCTGAATTTTGCTTTGGCTGGCGCGCTTGAGGAGGAGGGCCCAGGGAAGGGGGGGGGAGCGGCGACGGCGACGGCGACGACGACGACGAGGGGGGACGACGACGACGAGGGGGGACGGCGACGGCGACGGCGACGGCGACGGCGACGAACGGAAGAGCGTCTTCCACATGCCAACAGGGCCAGCGCATGTGAAGAGATGGTTGTATTGTTGTATTGTACGATTTGGTCGGGCGCACGCCCCCAGGGAGGGCACACAGCATTAGGTATGTCCTTCGGCGTCCCGTGATCACCCGTTGCCGCGCTCCCGGCATTCGCAGAGCGCGAACCATACACCCACACAGCGATCCTGGCCGTGCCGAACCCCTGGGGCCCGGGATCGGGGCCGAGTCCCGTGCTGCCCACGCTAGGGTGGCGCACATACGCTGATCCAGGGCCCGGGAGGAGATTGGCGAGGATCGGTGTCGGTGTGCATGGTCGGGCCGAGGGTCACCATCCCCCCTTCTAGGTCCTCTTGCTCCCTCTCGTCGTCCTCTTCCTCTGTCTCGCCCTCGCCTTCCCCCCCTCGTATCTCCCACTCCCCATCCCCTCTGTCGATCTCCCCACCCTCCGCGCACATCCTCTCCACGCCGGTCCCCAGACGTTTGCTGGGGGCGGTCCATCCTGGCCACGCAGTCGGGCCGAGGTATAAGATCGAGGCCCGTTCAGAAGGTCACCCCCGTGTTCTTCGCCTCTGTTGGATATGCTCTTGTCCCTCCTGGGGGAGGGCAGCCTCGCATGTTCGGCAGCGCGCCTCCGATGTTCTTGAAGGATGTTCTTCTGTTCTCGGTCCGACCTTTGGCGTCCTCTGATTCGTCCTCAGGCGACCGCAAACATGGATCGAGGAGGCGTGGATTAGCGACGGGTGGATTTCCGCCGCCGAGCGAGGCCGCACCGGCCGCATTTTTGGGAGGGCACCTCCCCCGATCCGTGGATTTGGCGACCGCGCCGATCCATGGACTTGGCGACCGCGCGCCAGATCCATGGACCGCTGATCCATGTCTGCGCGCCTGCGACCTTCTTCATGCAACAAGCTCGCTCCTTGATCCTCGATCGGCCCCGCCCCCCCTCCCCCCCCCGGCGCAGGGTCGGTGTCTGCGCGGTGCCCCCGCGCACGCGCCACACCCACTATGGCGGCAGGGCCCCTCCCCGAGGGCCCCCCTTCCCCCCCGCCGGCGGTGCCCCCCCTCCCTGGCGCGGGGCGCCTGCGAGGGCCGGCTGATCCACGACACGGGGAGCTTCTGCAGCAAGGTGCAGGACTCGGGGTGCGCCATGTGCGTAGCCCCCTTGCTTCCCTCTCCCGGCCCCCTCCGCCCTCCCTGTCCCCTCCCCCCCTCCCTCCCTCCGTCCCTCCCTTCCACCCGTTCCTCCTCCTCGTCCCTCTTCTCCATGCCGGAAGCTTCTGCACCAGGGTGCGGGACTTCAGGTGCGCAACCTCCTTCTCTTCCTCCTCCTTTCCTTTCTTCTCCTCGGCGGGGAGGAGGAGAGGGAGTAGAACAAGGAACATTATTATGCAGGGCCCCTCGTTGACCCTCTTCCGTCCTTGTAAGTGCTGCAATCTTTCAAAAGGAATGTGCGCGGCGCTGAGGCGAGAGTCACATTTTGAAAACGACCCCATTAATCCTCGCAGCTGGCGCAGCTTCGTCGTCAGCATCATACACCCCGAGACAGATACAAGCGAAATGTCTTGGTGATGATGATGATGATGATGATGATGATGATGATGATGATGATGATGATGATGATGATGATGATGATGATGATCCTGCTGGTGATGATGCTGACGATGATGAGGATTAAGATTAGGAGTAGGAGGGCGAAGAGGAGGAGGCGGTGGGAGGTTGAACAGGCGGAGGAGGAGGACGGAGGACGAGCTGGAGCTAGGAGGACGAAGATGAGGTTCGGAAGATGGTGAGCAGGCTCGCAGTGCAGAGGACAAGGGAGGTCCCTGTGGCCACCGACGCCTGCGCGTGGAGGAGGCCATTCGCGCTCTCACGGGCAGGCCGTGCCCCTCGAGGGCCGCGAAGAAGGAGAAGGCATCGCCGCTGTCTGTCGTCGTCGTCGCCGCCTCCGCCGTCGTCGTCGCAGGAGGAGGAAGCTGCTGCGGAGGAGGAGGATGATCGAGGGGCACGGGGGGGGGGAGGAGGAGGAGGAGGAGGAGGACGAGAAGGAGGAGGAGGAGGAACGGGAAGGAAGAGAAGGCGGAGGTTGAGGAGGAGGAGGAGGACCAGTGCAAACCCAAGGCTCATCATTGATGTTGGGATGAGCCCTCCTCCAAGCTCCCTCTTCGTAGGCCCCTACATGGATTCATTTCCATTGCTCCCCGTTGGGAGATAACCGATTGAAGATTTTGAAGCGTGTCAGAAACAGCATTATGGGACTCCAACGCCACGGCTCAACCTGACCGTTGCATCTTGACGATCCGGAATCGCGCAAGAACGCCATCCCTGCAATTTCAACACCTCGGATCAACATACGTGTTGCGCCCTGACAGTCCTGAATAGTTTCAAGACGCCATGTTTGGTATGTTGTCTGTTGGAGCCCATGGAACGCTTTCATATGTTTCAGCCAAATCTGTGCAGCGGTAAGACGAGAACCACATTTTGGAAGGGACTGCGCTCAACCCGTGAAGCTCTTACAGTTTCAATCCAAGAATGTGCGCGGCGCGAAGGCGAGGGTCACATTTTGCCAACGACCCGCCCTCCATCCGTGAAGCCCTTGCGTTGTTTTAAGACGACTGCGCTCGGCGATGAGCCAGAGTAACATTGTGAAAACTACCGTCCCTCAATCCATTAAGCTTCTACAATTGTTTCAAACGAGTTTGCGCGGCGCTAAAGCGAGAGCCACATGTTGAACATCTCTCGCCGTCAATTCTTAAAACTCAAGCACTTTTTCAAGACGAGTGCGCGCGGCGCTAAGGCGAGAGCCACATGTTGAGATCGCCCGCCCTCCGTCTGCGAGCCACTTTTGGAACCTCATGCTCATTAAATGGTAAGGAAGTCTCCCCTTGCGACTGGCCCCAGGGTGCGACAGGGAGGAGTTATTCACAAGAAGGAAGAGGATGAGGAGCAGGAGGAGGGGAAGTAGGAGTAGGAGGAGGAGGAGGAGGCGGAGGAACAGGAGGATGATAATCAGGAGGAGGAGGAGGAGAAGGAGGAGGAGGAGGAGGAGGAGGCGTCCCTGCCGTCTCTCGTCGGACGGGCTGCGCACTGGGCCGCTGGTCCAGTGCCGTCAGGGGGGCTCAACCTTTGGGTGTGGCGTTCGTGTGGTTCCTGCTTGTCGGGGCCTGCTCTGAGGCCTCGCTTGCCTTCCGTGCGTGCAGGGCAGGGCCCGACCTGAAGGGCGGTGCTTGCAGGATCGTCGTTGTGAAGATCAGGAGGGGGTGAGTGGGGGAGGCCTCCCTGCGGGGAGGGCCTCCCTGCAGCCTGCGAGGGAGTGAGTGGGGGAGGCCTCCCTGGGGGGAGGCCGGGGCTCCTACCCTGTGGGGGGTGGTATCTTTGCGCAGGTGGCTTGTGTGTTTTCTTGTTTTCTTTTTCCATTCCTCTCTCCCTTCATCCATCCTCAGCATCAACATCACCATCAACATCCTCACCCCCCTCCCTCCCCTCATCGTCGTCATAATCACCCCTCATCATCATGGCCACCATCATCACCATACGTGAACCCAAAACAATCAGAAACCCATACAATTAAAACAATGAGAAAACCACAGTCAACCATATTCTTCAATCCACACAGCCAAAAATAAGAAGCAATCCACACAACCAACAATAATCATACATCCATGCAATCAAAAACGATACGGAATTCATGCACTCAAGAAGAAGCATAAGTCCATACAATCAAAATCATCACGAAAGTCATACACTTCAAAACAATATGAAATCCGTACAATCAAAAACAACACGACAACGTCTTGGGCACACTAAGACACCAATCCAAGCAAAGAGAGACAGAGAGAGAGAGAGAGGAGGAGGAGGTGGAGGAAGAGGAGGAAAAGAAGGAGGAGGAGGAGGCGGAGGAATGAGGAGGAATGGTCCTTCGCTCGAAAATCTTTGGCTATTGGAGCCCTCACAGGTTGTTATATATATATATATATATATATTATCTATTGGATTTCATTGCTGTTCAATGCCAGTCACAGGTTTCCTTGTCTTAGGGCTACGAGCACTGTGAGGGTTCCAGAAGAAAGCCTGTGCGGGTTCAACAAAAATCAGAAGAAGCAACAACCAATGTTTTTTATTTCAGGCTGCCTGAGCGGATCTGGCCTGGAAGGGGCTGGAAGAAGTCCGAAGTCCCGAAAAAACTGTTTTGAATCATCACAGTTTTTTGGGGGGGGAGTTTTCCAGGTCCCCAACGACGATGATACATCCGTTCCAGAGCGCCCCGGAATGACGCTCTCGGAGCGCTCTGGAACGCTCTGAGAAGGCCGCGGCGCCCGAGACATCTTCCAGAACTGCCAGATCTCAGAGAGTCTTGGTTTTTCCTCACCCGATTTTATCCTCATCCCAGTTTCGTCTTCGAGAATGGGCCGCCCTCCATTCGTACAGCAGCTGGTGTCTGTGAAGATAAAGGTGCTCAGTTCTCAGGCGAGAGCGACATGTCAGGCCGCCCCCGTAAACAGTCGGCTGTAGCTAGAAGTGCTCCTGGCCCCAGATGCCCCCAGGATTCTCGGGGGGAGGCCCAGTCGGCCCCCAGAGCATCCCTCACGAGGCACAGATGACCCCTATGAGGCTCCAGAATGGAGCGAAAGGCTGGCGGCACCTTGCGCCAGGGGCACTTCTAGCCACACCCGAGACATGTGTTTTTCTTGGTAGCCCTGGACACGGGCGCGCACGAGCAGCCTGCCGCCGCGGGGCCGCGCCTCTCTCTCCAGTGTTCTCTTGCGCAGCGTGCCTAGAGCTCCGGCCACCTGGTGCTTCAGCGCGGCACTGGCCCCCTATCCGCCGTCCTCGGCAGCCGCCAGCGCGCCCCCTGCGCGCGGACCCCCTTTACAGTGGACGCCCGTGCCAAGAGACACCCTGCTTGCTTCCAGGGTGCCCGAGGCCTCTTGGGTCTGGAGGCTTCTGCTGGTTTTGTGGCGAGCGTGGCGCCCCCGCACCAACCGCCAGGAGACGCCTTGGGGGTCTTGGGCTCGGCTTTCTGGCGGAAGGCCGCCTGTGGTCGAGCATGGGGCTCCCCCTCGCAGCCCGCCCACCCCCCCCCCTCCCACGCCCGCCGGTGCGCCCCCTCTCCGCCCCGGCCTCTTGCTCATCCTGCGGCAGGGCGCCGGCGCCCCGCCCACCTGCAACCAGCTCGCCCCCTCCGCCCCGATCGTTGTTTGCTTCGGGACGGCACCAGCGCGGCGCCCGCCCCCTCCGCCTCGACGCGTCGAGTAGTGGATCGACTGCAGAACTAGTGCATCCCAAACTGGATTTCCTCGCCGAACCCAGAAACAGAGAGTAGGCTGCTCGTTCTATGAGCATTCGACGGCAGTTCCTTTCATGATCCTGGCGAGGAGTTCCACTTTGGGGTACATGCACTCTGTAGTCGATCCCCCCCTCAAGCTCTTATTTCGGCATGGCACCGGTGCCCCCTCCACCGTCCACCCTCCTCCGCAGCCGCCGGCGCGCCCTCTCCGCCCCGACTCCTCTTTATCTGGGTGGTTCAAAGATGGGGTCCTGAGGGATAGGGGTCCTCGGGGCGAGGTGCGCCAAACAATGTCGATGCAGCCCCGAATCCATTCCCCTCCTTAGGACCCCATCCCTCAGAGTCCTACCCTTAAGTCGGGCCTGTCCCTCTACAGGAGGAATAGTCAAACATCATTTTTCGTCCAAAAACCCCCTGTCGGGGGACAGTCCCGACTTCATCCAATCCTACTCGCAAGGAGGAAAGACTGGTCTACCCTGTAAGAACGGTTTTTTGAAGGCAGATCTGCCTTCAAAAAACCGTTCTTACAGAGTAGACCATTTTTTGAAGGCAGATCTGCCTTCAAAAAACCGTTCTTACAGAGTAGACCAGTCTTTCCTCCTTGCAGGCCGATCTGCCTTCAAAAAGCCGTTCTTACAGAGTAAACCACAGAGCATTCTCTCGGCACGGCACGGCACTCTCTGCTTCGGCACCGTCGGCGCTGGGGAGATCCAGCCCCGCGGAGGCTCGCCGTGGCCAGACGCGCCCAACTCGTTCCCTGCTCGGCGCTCCTCACGGTGGAGGCCCGTGCCCAGAACGCACCCTGCTTGCCTCCAGGGCGCCCTGGGCTTCTTGGGTCTCGACGGCTTTTCTCTGGGAAGCGTGACGCTCCCACGCCCGGTGCCTCAGGGGTCGGGTCTCTTGCGGAAGGTTTCTCTTGTGGACTGGCCTCCACGTGTATCCCATCTCGTTCTTTCTCTCCCCTCCTCCGGTGGCCGGGTCGGGCGGAGAACGAGAGAGATTGGGATTTGGAAAGGCCTCCCTGTGGACTGGCCTCCACTGCATCCCCGCTCGCTCTTTCCCCTCCCCTCCTCCAGGGACCGGGTGGGCCGGAGAGCGAGGGAGGGACCTGGAAAAGGAGGGGCGTGTGCTGACCGCTGCCAGCGGCGCAGCAGCCAACATGTCTCGGTCCCGCCGCCGGGCACCTCTCTTCCGGGAGCTGCTCGCGCCCCACTGGCGCCAGGAGGCGCCGGGAGACCCAGCTGCGCGAGTCGAGCGGGTGGTAATGGGGGGTGACCCCAAGGCCCTTGGGGTCCCCCCCCGTTACCACCCGCAAATTTTGGTTTAGAGATCTTTTGAGGTTCTTTTAGAGTCTGAGATTTTCGTACACCGCACTCACATCTATACCCCTGTAGGTTTTGGCTTAGAGAATTTTTGAAGTTTTTAGAGTTTTAGATTTTCGCAGGTTTGGGTTTAGAGATGTTTTGAAGTTTTTTGTTTGGGAGTTTTGAAATTTCCGCAGGTTTTGGCTTAGAGATGTTTGAAGTCTTGATTGAGTCTGATATTCTTCGCCCGATATGGCGGTGGACCGCCTGTAGTCGCTATTGCCGAACCTAGCCCAAGGGGGGGCGAAGGATAGGGCCTCAAA